AAAAAAAACCCTCCAGAAAAAGGCAGAAAGACAGTCATAAAGGGATGCAAAGAAATTTACACATAACCCTTAGAGCTATAAATAGAAAACTTAAACTCTTCTACTTAGGGGTGTGTGTGTGTGTGTGTGTATTTTTAGTGGAGTGGTCTATAACTGACTGTAGCTATAAAAAGTTCCTGCTTCAAATTTGAACAGAGATGTTCCTGAAATGTTTTCTGTCATTGGAAAACAAGAAAACTTCCTGCTATAAAAAAGGTTGTCACATTTCTTCCTACAGTGTTTCAAAAGGCTAGTCTTGCGGCTTAGAACTCTATCCCTTGAGGAGATACATGACATTTTAAACTCTAGGCTGAAGTAGGGTCATGACCTCATGACATCTGTGGGACAGCTGACTGGAAGCTGGCCAAGAGCTGGTGGGCCTGACCTGTGGACTGGTGATTCCCCTCCATTCCAGACCGGTGCTGAGAATTTCTTTTCTTTTTTGAGATGGAGTCTCACTGTGTTGCCCAGGCTCACTGGGCTGGAATGCAATGGGCTGGAGAGCAGTGGCACGACCTCCGCTCACTGCAACCTCTGCCTCCCGAGTTTAAGCAGTTCCCTGCCTCAGCCTCCCTAGTAGCTGGGATTACAGGCGCCCACCACCACACCTAGCTAATTTTTGCATTTTTAGTAGAGACAGGGCTTCACGATGTTGGTCAGGCTGGTCTCTAACTCCTGACCTCAGGTGATCCGCTGTGATTACAGGTGTGAGCCACCATGCCAGGCTGAGAATTATTACTATTTTTTTTGAGACAGTGTCTCACTCTGTTGTAAAGGCTAGAGTGCAGTGGCATGATCTCAGCTTACTGCAGCCCCTGTCTCCCAGGATCAAGTGATCTTCCTACCTCAGCCTCCTGAGTAGCTGGGATTACAGGTGCATGCCACCACGGCAGCCCGGCTAATTTTTGTAGAGACCTGGTTTCACCATGTTGCTCAGGCTGATCTTGAATCCCTGAGCTCAAGCAATCCACCCACGTCAGCCTCCCAAAGTGCTGGGATTACAGGTGTGAGCCATTGCACCCAGCTGACAAACTGAAACTGCCTTTGGCACTCTTGTCCCCTTTCTCTGTTCATCTTTTTTTTTTTTTTTTTTTT